CCCCCCCCCCCCCCCATTCTGGCTTTGGTCCTGTCCTGCTTGGTTCAGACAGCTTACAATTTGCACACAATTTGGGCTTTTCCTGCAACAATACAACTCTCAACAGAAAAAAAATTATGGATGTGCATAAAAAGGGGTAGGGCTTTGATCATATAGTGTATGCACTATTTTGACTTTTTAAAACTCCCTGGGAATGCCCCTGAGCCTGTTTCTCTCTTTCTCTTTCTCTTTCCCTTGTTTTGTTTAATTCTGTACAAGGTCACACCTTTCTGCTCTGGATGTCCATGCAATCACAAACTTATTGGTGCTTCTTCCCCTACATATTGTTTTATGAAATACTGCAACCTATTATTTGAAGGAGATTTATGACTGTAGACATAAATAGACAAAAGGAGATCTCCATCTGGCAAAGATGGAGGCTCCCTTGTTAGTATTTTGAAAACATATGGCAAATTCTTCCTATCACAAGTTGGTTACCTGCACAGAATTCTCTCGGCGATTACTAGAAATGTCCCCTGGATTGTCTCTAGCTACTGCAGTTAATGTATAATGATCCTTCTTTTCTCGATCTAATGTTGATAGTATGTAGATATCTCCCTGAAACACACAAAAATCTTCAGAAAGTTATTGGATCCTTTCATATATACCAGAGTTTCACAAACTGACATTATCCAAATATGTTGGGATAGGAACTCTCAGAATTCCACAGCCAAGATATTAATTATGATATTCTAGAAGCTGATGTCCACCAAAATATATCTGGAAGACACCAGATTCAGGAATGCTAATATATACCTAAAGCAGTGTTTTGGCAACAGTAAGTCAGGAATTTATTTCTAGTAACCACAATGTCAGGCAAGATGGAGCATATTGGTTTTCTTGTCTCATAATTTTTAAAATAAATTAAAGCTACATCTACACTCTCTTGTTCTCTTTAACTTAAAACCTTAATTAATATGCTATGCATCAAGAATTTAGTATGGGTTTCTGGGCAAAGTGTGGCTAGCCCTTAAAAATGCAGCTAGAAAATGGATTCTGAATACGATTCTAACAATACCCGTGTTCATTATGCCAGATCGGGGGGCGGGGAGGAACACTTTAAAAATATATCTACCAATTTCAATTGCAATTATTCTGTCCAAGGGAAACATTTTATCAGAATAGGATCTTAACAACTGCGAGCTAGAGTTTTCAGTTTGCTTCATGCACATTGTATTGTTCATTACATGCACATTGTATAATTTATTCTTGCAGCAATGTTTAAGGCAAGTCAGCATTCATATTAATGATAAAGGGGAATGTCAGAGGAAGTAATAGCTAATACAAAGCCATCATTCAAGTTAAAGTGAAACTTCACTAATGGGTAGGTCAAAACTTAAGTTATCCCAGCTGCTGGCAAATTTTTAATTTCTCTTGGAAGTGCAAGCCTGGAACAGAAAAGGCTGTCTGTTCAGCCTAGATTAGTCTTGACTACAGGCACCCACTCTGTCAGTTACTACCAGCCTATATACTACTGACTGATATTGTCTAGATCAGTGTTTTTCAAACTTGGCAACTTTAAGATGTGTGGACTTCAACTCCCAGA